TTGGGGTTGACAACCACTCGTATAGGAGGAGCCTACAATAAATAAATAAAATCGTAAGCCTCCCTTCTTGTGAAAGGATTGTCAATCCCCAATTGTACAACTAACAAAATTCTTTTGTTATGCATGATAAAGATCCACACATTTTTGTAGAAATTTGAGGGGGTCCAACGTTTGGCTGTTACACTGTCATGGACCACATGGTAGGGGTTTGCTGAGGTGGGTGCCACCTCAGCCCCCTATTTTTTGGCCTGGATGAGGAGCATTTTTTTATTTTTTTTATCTAAGTCCTCGTTTAGTTTCACTAAAAATTTAACCTAGAATTTAAGTTAAAATTAACAATTAATTTCGACTGCACATTTCACGAAATTCACAATTTTTTAGCAACATATTTACCAACTTCAATGAAAATCTGATTTTCTATCTAAATCAAACATGAACCTAATTTATATAAGCGTTTTACTTACTTTTTTTTCTTCATAACTTCACTTGTCTATCTAATGTTATGTATAAAATTATTCTAAAATATGTACATGCATATATTTTTTAATTATTTACAAAAAAACGAAAGAGTTGTTTTGCATCATATTTAGAGAAATATATAGTTTTCTTTAAAATTTTTATATTTCATCTTTTTAGGTAATAATAACTAAAATTTTAGAGCCATATTTCTTTACCTGAAAGCAATGCTCACATCTAAATATAATGGGAAAAAATAAAAATCTTAATAAATGAGAAGAAATAGAGAAACCAAATTTATTACAAGATTTATTATTATTATTATTATTTTAAGGAGGATGTTGGGTTTTTTGATATCCAATAATCCGAGCGATAATTTAAAACAGTTGTCGAATTATTTATCGACACCATGGACTTGGCTCGACTTGAAGATGAACTACACTTTTGGATGGTTCGGGTTTGGGTTGGATGATTATTTGGTTAGTTGGACCATTTAGTGATTAATATGGAGTTGAATATTGGCCCATAGTTTAGGTTAATTGGTAGCTCGCTTAGTGAACCTTAGGCCCAATTAGAGTGACCTAAACTAACCTATATATATGTATTTATCTCCCAGCCGTTTTTTGTGGTGTGTGTGTTGTAGCAATTGAGAGGAGAGTTGAGAGAAGAGAGGCAACCGAGAGAGATAAAAGCCATGTGAGGTTGTGAGTAAGATTCAACCACTATTCTTCTTCTTCTCTATATCTTTGTGGATTGCTGACCCACCACCCTTCTCTTTTGTGGGGTTTAAGAGAGAGTTTGGACAGTCCAAAGTGAAGGCGAAAGTCTTGGGTTGAGCCAAGGTAAATCGGTGTTCGTTTGGTTGTTTTATGAGTCCGAAATTAAGATCTATCGAGGGATTTCCTCTACAAATAGTATCAGAGCTTGTGTTGTTGATAAATCTATGATTTTTGGGGCTAAAAAGGGGTTGGAAGTGGCCAGAAATCGGACTGAAAAACAGGTAGAAAAACTGGACAGTTTTCTGGAATTTTTTCAATTTTCTGCCGGATCTGTTTTGGCGTTTTTTGGTGAAACCGAAAGGAGTTTGGCAAAACGGACACCATCGGTGGACTGTGCAGGTGGAGAAGAAGTCGGAAGGGTGCCAGGTCGCCGGCGCGTGGGGAAGACGGCTATGGCGCGTGAGGGCACGTCCGTCTGATTCCGACAAAGTGGTCTTCAGACAGAATCTTCCCCATGACGAGATGGACCCTGCAGTGTTTTCAGATTTCAGTTTGGAGCAATATAGTGAAAGTTGGACGATTTTGCCCTTGGACGTTTGGGTGTCAGGTGCTGTTTTCGTGTTGCTGTGGTTGCCGGTGACTTTAGGATAAATAGTAATAGCCCTAAAGTGGTGAATTCGCGTCTCTCGATATTTACGGACCTTTAGACGTGGTCCGCTCGGTATCGTATTCTTTACTTTTTATTATTGCAGTTAAAATAAATGTGTAGGTTAATTATTTGTTTTTTGCATTAGAGGTCATCGTGTGGGGTGACATTAGGTTTGGGGTAACCATTGCCTGTTGCTAGACCTAAGAATTATTTGTTAATTATTTGCCTTAAATTCTTTGTGAATTTGCTGTCAGTTTTTTTTACATTATTAGAATTGCATGTGGCTTTAGGAAATTTTACTGGACCATTCTATGTGAATTGTGTTCATACTTTACTTGTGGTCATTATCTGGCATTGGTGGCAAATGTAGGTCTAAGGTAAGTGCTAAAAATAATATATATTTTAACTGTGGTAAAATTTGGACATAGTTGAAAGAGATTATCCCAGAATGATAATAAAAAGAAAGATGAGAATAGAGACAAGATGAATGTGACTTTAGGGTCGAGTAGTGATCCTAGTGAGGTTTATTGAGAGAATAAACCTGGTTCTTGCATTGCATCTGTGTGTAATCCTTTCTGCATGTATTTGATCACTTAATTATGTTGCAATGTTGATGTTACACTTTTACTATGTTTGATGTGTGTAATTGCATGAATTAGAGTGACCTATTACTTTGTGTAATATGTTTACATGCATAGTGGGTTAAATTATGTTGCAATGTTGATGTTACACTTTCACTATGTTTGATGTGTGTAATTGCATGAATTAGAGTGACCTATTACTTTGTGTAATATGTTTACATGCATAGTGGGTTAAATTTTGTGGCGTACTCTATTTGCTCTGTGAGTGGTGTAAGAGTGTGGTAGTGAGAAGAAAGTTGGGCAGCCGTTTCTCTCCTTCATCTTTGTGAGCCTGTGTGGTTTGTTAGATTATGTGAGGCAGTCATGTTAGGGTTACATTCTTTATCTTTGTGAGACTTTTTTTGTGAGTGTAGTGAAGTAACCGATTCTTTCTTCGATTCTCTTTGAGAGTGTCACCTTCACTATTTTCTTTGTGAATTTTTGGGAGCATTGGTGAGTAGATTAACCTTTGTGGTCACCGAAAGGTGCTGATTTGCCATAGTGAGTTTGAGATGCATTAGCAGTGAGTTGGATGTCTTTTGGTAAGGTGGACATGGTGATTTGTACTGGGGGATGTGGAGTGTGACATTTGGATCACGAGTGGAGATGTGATCAAATGTGTAGAATCCTTTATCTGTGAAAGAGACCCTGTACAGGTGGAGTGTGAGAGAGGCACTTCTATCACTTCTGTAAGGTAGAGTCCCATTATCCATATAGGTTAGGAGAAGTGATGTGGTGATAGAGGATTATCCCGAGAGTTTAGGATCTATTGTGATTTACCAGTTAGACATGAATTAAGTGATTGGTTTAGTGAGCATTGTGGGCGATGAGAGGAGATATGTGTTCTCGAGGTGGGAGTAACACGGAATGGGATAGGATAAGTGTAGTGAGATCTTTCATGGGGCCATTTATGCATTTGTTGCATATGTGTTTGATCGTGTGCTGATTAACTAGGTGTTAATCTGTGGTTCTGTGTGATCATGATTTTGAAAAGATCTGTGTGTGTTATCCTATATATATCTTCATCGCATGATTATTTGTTCACTGTGAATACTTGTTTCTACTTGGGTATTCTTGACCTTAGCTCTGATGAGTACATGGAGCAAGTATCGTATGTGTTTCAAGTTGGAAACACGAGGTAAGGTCTGTAATTCCAATTTTATTGGATTACCTTGATTGTGCAAGTAAAAACTGTGTGTTTTGGTTGCTTGCAGATTATTGGGCATCAAGGTGGAGATTGTTGGGTTTTTTGATACCCAATAATTCGGGCGATGATTTAAAACAGTTGTCGGATTATTTATCGACACCATGGACTTGGCTCGACTCGGAGATGAACTACACTTTTGGATGGTTCGAGTTTGGGTTGGATGATTATTTGGTTAGTTGGACCATTTAGTGATTAATATGGAGTTGAATATTGGCCCATAGTTTAGGTTAATTGGTAGCCCGCTTAGTGAACCCTAGTCCCAATTAGAGTGACCTAAACTAACCTATATATATGTATTTATCTCCCAGCCTTTTTTGTGGTGTGTGTGTTGTAGCAATTGAGAGGAGAGTTGAGAGAAGAGAGGCAACCGAGAGAGATGAAAGCCATGTGAGGTTGTGAGTAAGATTCAACCACTATTCTTTTTCTTCTCTATACTTTTGTGGATTGCTGACACCACTACCCTTCTCCTTTGTGGGGTTTGAGAGAGAGTTTGGACAGTCCAAAGTGAAGGCGAAAGTTTTGGGTCGAGCCAAGATAAATCGGTGTTCGTTTGATTGTTTTATGAGCCCGAAATCAAGATCTATCGAGGGATTTCCGTACAGAGGACCTTTAATTTGTCTCCAAAAGTGTTCTTCAGTGCAAAGTTTAAGAACCCCCACACGTTTTTCATCTGTCACTACCCCCTTTTCACTAAAACCCGTCACTTTATTTAGCTAAAAATAACAATGAAACTGAAATGTGTAACTAATAATAAGTAACAGTTATAAGTGTATACTTAAAAGATTTAACAAATAAATCTATAAAGGTTTTATTTTTGCTTTCTCGTAAAACTAACCACTCTATTTTAATTCAACAGTCAATTTTGCTCTTGTTTGGTTTAGATAAAAATCAGATTTTTAATGAATTTTGATAAAAAATTAATGGAATATATGATTCAACTTAAAATTTAATTTAGAGTACGTTTGATTGTCAATATTTTTTTATGTAAAATGTGTTTTTTTAATCAAAATTCCTACTTTTGTGCTGTTTGTTCGTCATTTTTTTCATTAAAAATATTTTCCTACTTTTGGTCACGCAATCATATTAATTACAAAATCAAGGAAAATATTTTATTTAAGGGGAATAAGATTTTATTTTTCAGGGAATTCAACTTTTTTCTCTCTCTCATCTATCCATACTCTCTCATCTATCTACCAACAAAAAATGGACAAGTATAATATTTTTAATATTGAAAATTAAATCAATCAAATACATCTAATTGATAACTTCCATGCAAATAAGTTTTAGGAAATTGAATTGTCTAAAATTTATTTTCTATCCATACAAATTCTAATGCTACCTTACTTCTTAAGCTGAATCAAGCATGGGCTATACTGCCTAACATGTATATCTCGTTTCTTGTCACTATAAAGCCCCACATATTAGCTTTTGTCACTTATAAAACCAGTCTATATTACAAGCTTCTTACAGTGAAACAATGGCTAATATTTCCTTTACATCTTCCATTACTAAATTTTGCCTCATCACAATCACTGCCATTTTAATTTTCTTCACCCTTTCAACTGCCAAAGCTAAAAATATCAGTACTAAGCCTTTCCAGAGAATTTATGCCTTCGGCGATGCCGAAACTGACGCCGGCAACACAAAATCCTCCACCGGTCCAACCATATTCCGCTATGTGTCCAACCATCCTTACGGCCAGACATTTTTCGGCCACCCCACAAACCGATATTCTGATGGCCGTTTGATGATCGATTTTGTGGCTGAAAACCTGTCATTGCCTTACTTGCCACCTTATCTCAACGAGAAGGCTAATAAATCACATGGAGTGAACTTTGCTTTTGCAGGCAGCACTGCATTGACACACAATTTCTTCGTGAACAATAATCTTACACTTGACACTACTCCTGTTTCACTTCAGACACAACTCGGTTGGTTCAACGAGTTTCTTGAAAGTGAGGGGTGTAAAATATCACCATCAGTGTTGGAGTGTGAGGCAGAATATGTAACTGATGCACTGTTTTGGGTGGGAGAAATTGGAGCAAATGACTATGCATATAGCTACAGATCTTCTGTGCCAACCAAAACCATTCAAGAACTTGCCACCAATAGCGTCATCGACTTTTTACAGGTAATTATTTGGACTGTGCGAATCCTAATTATTTGCTCCTGTTTATGATGATGACCACAATTTTTATGCAGTGCTTGTAAATCCGAGAATTCTTAACCAGCTTCGTCTTTGTTGACAAATTACAGGCATTGCTTAATAAGGGCGCAAAGTATATCGTTGTTCAAGGCCTGCACCCCACAGGCTGCCTGACATTGTCCATGGAAGTAACTCCTACGAACGATAGAGACAATATGGGGTGTGTGGCCAGCGTGAACAGCAGAATTTACAGTCACAACACAATTCTCCAAGCCAAGTTGAATGGGCTCCGGGAAAAGTTCCCACAAGCTATCATTTTATATGCAGACTACTGGAATGCCTTCCAGCATGTTTTTCAAAATCCCGGTGAGTATGGCTTCGACGAGAGATTCAAAGCCTGCTGTGGAACCGACGGCGGAACCTATAACTTCAACGTGCTTTTCCCATGCGGATCGCCTCCCTCGACTGCTTGTGACAACCCTTCTAAGTACATCAATTGGGATGGTGGGCATCTTACTGAAGCCATGTACAAGGTTATGACACGCTTATTCATCACAGGGGCATTTTGTGATCCACCTTGGAGTCATTTAATAAGCAAGAAAATGCAATCAGGATAGACAGATCCCCTTCGAATCCCCTGAACAATACTTTGTTACTGTTTCTATGTGTTGTAACAGGGATGACCTGATGAAAACTACTGAAACATAATGAGAATAAAATCTATGGATTTGCAAAAGTTTAACACCAATTGTAGGTTTGGGGAGGAATTACGCGGTGTTGGATACTATTAAGGAAATGCCTAGCTGCACAGTTTGGTGAGCAACGTAGATGTAGATTAATCATTGTAAATGGGTTGGGATTGAAGATTGAAAGTTTGTTACGAATGTTTGAAGAAAAATAGGATTAAGATTTGAAAAAAAGGAATGAAATTTGAAGTCTGGCAATACGCATTGAATAAGCTTTCTTAAAATTTGATATTTGTCCCTCAATGTAAGAATGCTTTTGGCTTCAACTATATGATAAAGTCTATATGCTTTGCAGTTGTCAAAAACTGTTTTTGACAGCAGTCAATCCTTTCTAGATAGTTGTGTTTTCTGTATAAAATTTGTACTTGTAGCATTACTCAAATAAAAATGAAGTTCTATGTAGCTTGGCCTGATCATGCTAGGCACGGTGCCTGGCAGCTTATAAGGCAAACAGAATTAGACCAATATTTCTTTAGCTGAAAGCAATACTCACATCCAAATATAATGGGAAAAAAATCTTAATAAATGAGAAGAAATAGAGAAACCAAATTTATTAGAAGATTTATTTATTTTTTATTATTATTATTATTATTATTATTTTGCAATTTTGTAAAAAAAGAAAGTGTTCTCTAGTGCAAAGGTTAAGGACCCACACGTTTTTTCTCTCTCGGTACCCCCTTCCACGCTAAAATCCGACACTTTATTTAGCTTTCTTGTGGCAAAT